TTATTTAAAAATAATTCTACAAAGATATTTTATCAAAAATTAAATAAATTATTGCAAACGTTGAACAAAGGATAAATATATACATACATAAAAGTTAAAATTTCAAATATTTGATTTTCGCTTCTCGAGTGAAATTATTAAATCGACGATAGATAATGTATATATTTTCAAGATATATCTGATATAGGGATATTTGAAGGAAACGTAAGATCGAGCATCGTAACGCTTGGATCGGTCGATTTGCTTTCTCGGAGTTGACGAAAGAATGGGCGAAGAAACGTGTCCGAGGCAAAAGGAGAAATAAGTGGTGCAACGGTGCCACGTATTTCCGTTCTAATGACTAGCAAAAACTTGACACCTGCATCGACACCGGTGTCGGAAACAACGACCGAGAAATCGACCGATTTCAGGAGTTAGCCTTGCGTAACGAGAGAATTTTCCATTTTTCCGAACCGGCCGCGTCAATTGTATTCGAAAGAAGAGTATGCGCGTTTCAACCATTTCGTTATATAACGAAAATGTGAGAAACGATAAAAACTCAGGGAAATCCCTTTTTACATATACGCGCGCGCGCGTGCGTACGCACACTTGTTCACGGTCTCGATTCTTATCGAGAGACACCAGCCTCGGACAATGTCAATGCAACTCGACACAACGGAATATAGAGTTTAAATAAAGCAACGTTACACGAGTATATACTTACGTGTCACGCATATATTATAGAAACTGGTATATAACATTATCAATCATTCCAACTTGTGTGAATAAGCATGACACGGAAGAATAAATAGACACATTGTCGGTAAAAAAAATTTCACAAAGTAAATATCGTTTACCGCTTTCACTTTTCCATTTCCACTCCTTTGCGCTCGACGACGTATCTCGACGTCGTAATAATAATCTCGTTTCAACGACAATTCAAATTTCATTCTCGCAGATCGTGGAAAAAGGACGAAAATATATATACTTATGTAACCAAGATTTACCAACATTACCGTCCGTTCCTCCAAAGCTAATGCCAATAGCGCTTCGATTCGATGCATCCGGAATGAATCGCATCGCGGAATGATGCATCTTGCTGGACACGCGCGCGTGTCAACTAACTCGGCTCGATTAACGACGCGACACGGCGTAATTGGGTAAAGGGTAATTCGATCGTCTCGTTGAGATGAATCCTCGCGCGAAGAGGTTGCGTACGTATGCGGTGTCGAGGTGGGTTCTAGGGTTAAGACAGCGCGCCCATCGTTAAATTAAAATCCCGAGGCGAGCGGCACCATCGTCTGGCCCACCTCGGCGGTGCCTTCTAATTTGCAGCGCATAATATTCGAATAATTTGCACGCGCTAATAGGAGCGAGAACGCGGAGAGGAAGGGGGCCGGCCTCCTATGCATATAGAAAACACCTTACAGACCTTCTCCAAGCGATGCAAATGCTTCTTCGGCCTGAATCATGGGCCGGTTAATATTGGCCGTATCGTATGATGAGTCGTCTACTCGTACAATCACTCGATCAAAGTATGCGACGCGATCGCATCTAATCGCAGACATAATATCTTATCAGTGACGTATCCGACGCATACGCGAATATAATAAAAGTATCGAATGCGTTCATCGTGCGGTGTGTTCGTTATCTAGAGAATAATAATAATAATTGTTTGCAAACTTACCAACTATCTTGATAGACTTTGCTCGCGACTTCGATCGAAAAGTGTCGAAATTATTTCGTATATTGTCGCGCGTCATTTTTTTGTTTCTCCTTCTTTTTTTTTCGTTTAACTTTTAAATAAAAGTATCGTTAAATAATTGAAAAATCGTTAGAAGAGAAGGAAAAGATAGTTTTAAAAATAATCTTTACTTCTTCTAGATAGAATATATCCATGAGGTTTCCAAAATGTTGAAACGATCGAAAAGAAATCCTCGTTCGTATTGAATTTAATCGATGAATTTAAAAAAAAAGAAGAAGAAGAAGAAAGAGTTAGATTCGACGATACGACGAAATTCGATCAAAGGTTAAGAAGCGTACATCCTGTCGATTCGATTGATTCTTCGTATATCTTTATTACCAATTAATGCATTTTTCACGTTCTTTTATCGATCGTAAAATCAGATATTTTAATTCTTATTATCGAGATCACGAGATCGATGATATTATTAGAGTAATCGAGACGTTTATCGTTTCTACGCTCCGTGCTCCTAATCCTTGAAGATTTTCGTTCGTTTTATTATTTGGCGATTAATTTTGAAATCGATCGTTCGTGCGTTATCACGTACAAAATCGAAATGAGAAATATAAGGTTGAACGTTAAAAAAAAACGTTAAAAAGGAAGAAGCGTTAACGCGAATAAAAATTTTTATCGGGACGTCGCGCGCGCGTCACGAACCGCGCTCGACGTCACTCCGCGTCGAATCGTATCACACGCGTCCCTTATCAAAGAGCACGATGCCATCGAACGTACAAATATAATAATCGCGAGAACCGCGTTTATAATTGGTTTCACATCGGTTCGACACGAATTGGCAACAGTACTCGAATAATTCACCGATGAATCGGTGGTCGATCGTAAAAAAAAACAAAAAAAAAAAAAA